CGGGAATGTCGTTCTTGTCCGACTGGGTCAACATTCACTTATTTTTGTGAAGTACACAATCGGTGAGGTTGCGGGAATGTCGTTCTTGTCCGACTGGGTCAACATTCACCAGCTTTTGGATCGGATCTTAAAAGGTTATAAAGTATTTCGTTGCTTCAGCTCTTCTTTTGTCAATTCAAGGTATTGAGTTATTACAAAAGTAACCAAATATAATATGATACAGGATTTCCGAGGGTTTCCGAAGCCACCAAGACTCTGGATATAAATATCCAGAGAATTTTAAGTAGCAAAAATGCGCTACAATCGTCACAACCAAAAATGTCGTTCTTAGAGCATGAATGCAACATCTCGCTGGCGGCGGCGCTGGCCTTCCTGGACGAGTCCATGGACGCCAGCGAAAGCTCCAATAGCTCGACCACTGCGTCTACACCGTCTGCGACTACACAACCGTCCACCGCCGCTGATCCAGCGCAGCTCTTAGAGGCGTTGGACGACGACCTCGGAGCTTTCACCGCGTCGTCGCCTTTACCTCAACCAGCTGATGCTATGCAGTTGGAGAGCGCAGCTTTACCCGTCCAAGAGACCACCATTGTACCAGCTTCAATCTCCAAACAATTGAAGAGCGCAAAGAAGAAAAAGAAACTCAACTACGACCCCAATAAGGCCCGTAACGAGCGCAGATTCGAGCTCGCGTGCTTGAGAAAAGAAGTGAAGGACCTGGAGCTGACACTCGAACAGTTGCAGAGCATACAAGGCGATGATAAACGCTCTACAAGTGTAAAAAGACCGCGAGTAGCTGCTTTGCTGCGGCCTGTGAGCTCGAACAGCGGCATGTCCGCGGTTTGGGAGCAGATTTGTGCTCATCAATTAGAGAGACGACTGCGCGTCGAGAGGGAGAACATCCACTTAAGAATGATGTATAAAAGTCAAGCCCAGGTAGCTAAAAGCATCGAAAGGCTGCTACAGAAGAGACTAGCGCTACAAGACACGACATACTCAGAGATCAGCAAGCACACGAGTCGCATTGAGGTCCCGCAAGGTTATTTCACTGACGCAGATCAAAAGATATTTGAAGATCTTTCTAAGGGTGTAGATACGTCGTACCAACAGGTGGACGAAGTATTTGAAGCTCATGACCCTGCACGGACTCATCTGCCGACACGGGAGCCCGTGGTTCGAGATAGTGTCAATGGCAAGTATATGGAGCTGTTCGACAACAAGATCATGCCGTTCGATATGACGTCCACTGGTGATGCATGGTGGAGACGCTGGCACAATTATAAGGGGCACTGTGCTCACGAGAATGGACCGAATAATACGATTGTGGAGAAGTTTGGACTGGAGATGAAGGATGTTAAAACACGGACGACAGCGACGTTCTACGTCCAGCAGATCTTAAAGCGTCATGTGGAAGACGGCCGCATTGTGATCGTCTGGCATGCTCATATTAAGCCACTGGAATTCGAGAAGAAACCTGCTACTGGAGTCCATTATTTGGAGAAGGGTTACGTTTTGATCAAGCCGCATATTACGGACTCAACGCCGAATAGTAATGAAGCTGCCACGCGCGTCATGACGTGCTATATTATCACACCGCACTTGGCGAATAGGAAATTGCGGGCAGATGCAAGGACGAGTGCTTTAACGGAATTTGTGCTGAGTGCAACATCGGCGAATATCTCGATGAGCAACGAGATGATCGAGAATTTACTGGTGGATCGAGCACTCCAAAAACAGAAACTTGGATAGAAACAGGCAGAAGTTTGCCCGCTATCGTGTGGATAAAATTTCACAAGCTCTGCATGCATAACGCTGGATGTTAAAATAAAGCCGACCTAGAAGTCGTGCCCTATCGAAGTGGTCGTGGTTGCTGTTAATTTTGAAGCTAAGGCCAAGGTCGGTTACGACACTATTACAGATGTGGATCGTACGAGCCGACAATACTATCATTAGCTGGACTTGGGGGTGCATGCATGCCAGAGTTGTTGTTACGGAATCATTGCGAAACGGAGACATCGGTATTAATTCTCGGTTCTCTCACCACTGCTGCGCTATAACTCGCCAAAATGAAGTCGAGTCGGGTGGACAGCATCATCAATGCACCGCAGGTGCAACCAGCGCGTAGAGCTACTAGAAATAGGGCTCAGCGCTATCTGACAGCAGCTTGGTTTTGCGTGGGAATGATGCCGTTGTTACTGCAAATACGGAGCTATCTCAAGTTCATGACACCGCACAAGATCACGGAAATTCTAGTGGGGCCTTCGAGTGTCGACGGCGAGACAGCAAGGCTATCTGAACTCTGTCCGGTTAAGGAATTGTACATTGCTCAAGTGCGCTGGAATATCGAAGCAGGTTATTACCACGAAATTGAGTATGGGCGGCTCTGTCACTTTGTGGTTCCTCAGTACAATATCCACGGGAATTATCTATTAGGACCTGCGAAAACTGATCCTTCGTCTACAACTCCAACAAGCTGCGCAGACGACAGCTATCCCCTGGAATATTATTTCTACCATGGCAGCATCGGATACTTTGCGTTTTATGAGGAAGCCGAAGGAACTTACTGCGACAAGGACAAGACCGCGTATGTTCGAGTTCGTGGGCTCGGAACGTATGACATTAATGGCCCGAGCTTGATCCATGACACTGGAGACGACAGCTATCGAAAGTCATATTGGTATAGTATATTCTGTGGCGTGTGGCTCTTGTATCGCGCTATACAAATGAGAAGATGTTATATCTCGTGCAAGCGCTATGCCAGAAGATGCGACTTTACTCAGGAGCGAGTGAATCGAAAGATAGCAGTGGTATATGTGCAGGAAAACATGCGATTGACGGCTCATGGAGCAACGAACTGGCATCGTGCAGTCATGCTCTATTTACTGGTCGAAGGCTTGATGAGCGATTTATTCATGTTGATCGCTCAAGATGGAATACTCGTAAAAATCCAGTACGTCTCGCTAGGATACAATCTCTCTGGTGTCTTATTGCTAGTGTTTGAGATGATTGAGAACATGAAGTGGCTACATGAGAAGTGGCGAGTGTTTATTAAACGGCTAATATTCTGCTACGAGGCGTCAATGATCGGAGAACTACTCAGTGTTGTGGGACTTCATCACTACATTACAGGGATTAATCGATCAAGTTTGAAGGATTCAAATGTGACGGCGGTAACCGTGTCCTATTATGTCTGGAGTTTAGTAGGACACGGTATCATCGTACTTGGTCTCGTTGCGTTCATCATATCAGTTCGAGCTTGTTGGGCAGTTATATATGTGTGTTGGAAACATCGCACGTTAAGTATCTTCTTCGCTCCATGTTGCGTCGACACTACATTAGCGTTGCGGAACAAGATGACGTTAGTGGGTGGGTATCATTGGCACAACGATAAACTGTACTACAAGGTTGACACGTTGAAGGCGTTTGGACTGTTGAAAATGGAGAAAGAAGACGGATCTGAGTTTGCAGTTCTAAGGAAACTACATTGGGTCGAAGTTCCGGCTGACAGCTTGTATGTGATTGGAACGTTGGCTGGTGAAGGAATGGAACCATGTACAGAGAAACTCTGTGCGGGTATCATCAGCTTCTTCGGACATGACATAGGAGGACCTGCTCCCAATCCAATTGGAGTTCGCCGCTCGCTTCTCGTCCTCGAAAAAAACAAAGTATCGGATAGCCCAAAGGCACTTAGCATACTACCGCCATCGTGACTCAAGCTTAATTGTTAGCGAAGTATTTGTAAATGTGTTGTGGAGTTATGGGGTAAGTCTCCAAATTTATCTTACGACGCGCCATCCGTTTCGATCAAACGAGTTTCATTTATCTATGAGGAAGCAAAACCAGGTGCAGGACCGAGAGCGTTGTCTTGAGCATGGATCACAGCGGCCAATGGGCAGAATAGAGAAGCTGTTGACCCCAGACCGAATGCTGTTGGGAGCGTGGATTGTAATTGGTTTGATACCGTACGCTCTAATGATCCGCAGCTACCTCAACTTCGTGACGCCACATAAAATCTCGGAGACACTGGTTGTACCCCCTGGAGTAGAAAAGGAAACAGTCAATTCAACAGAACTGTGTCCTGTTGAGGGTTACCTTTTTGGCCAAGTGTGGTGGAACATTCAAGTTACACATTACTATAACACCAGACACGGACGTCTCTGTCACTTTGTCATCCCGCAGTATAATATCCACGGGAATCACCTCATTGGAAGCGAAAGGGTTAAACCGTACGATACCACACCAAGTAGCTGCTACGACGACAGCTATCCCTTCGAGCTGTACATTTACCACGGCAGCTTTGGGTACTTTTCCTTTTACGAGGAACCAACCGGAACTTATTGTGCGAACGACAAAACTGGGTACATAGTTTCTCGTAGGTTTGGTACGTACGACATCAATGGCCCGAGTCTGGTTGAAGATACTGGGAGCACAAGCTACCGAAAATCCTATTGGTACGGCATAACAGGCGCTCTCTGGGTGGTATATCGAGGTCTTGTGTTGCGTCGAAGCTTTATTATATGCAAGAGATACGGTCGACGATGCAGTAATATGAGCGTAAGGCTTCGACGAAAAGAAGCTGTGGTGTTTGTTCACGAGCAACTCCGTTTAACAGCCCACGGAGCGACGAAATGGCATCGAATAGCACTGCTTTATCTCTTAATTGAGGGACTCATGGGCGACTTGTTTCTTTTGATTGCAAACAATGGTTTACTGTCTAAAGTCCAGTATATTTCGCTTGGGTATAACCTATCGGGGATGCTTTTAGTGACATTCGAGACAATCGAGAGTACGAATTGGCTCCACGAAAGGACTAGAGTGTTCATTAAACGCCTGTTGTTCTGCTATGAGTCTTCGTTACTTGGTGAGATCGTGGGAGCAGCTCTTCAACAGCCATTTCTAAGTCAACTAAACGGATCAAGAGCTTTTAAGAAGTCGAACAATGTCAACCTTGTCGTCTCGCACTATGTCTGGAGTATTGTTGGTCACTGTATCTTTGTACTTGCAGTAATCGGCTTCATCATCATTATCCGTGCTGTGTGGGCTATGATATACGTGTGGTGGAGGCATCAAACGTGGTCAGTTTTCACGGCATCGTGTTGTGTTGACACAGCGCTAGGCAAACGCAACAAAATGACAATGCTGGGAGGATATCGTTGGCATGATGGCAAGTTGTACTACAAGCCAGATGCACTGAGATCTTTCGGTCTTTTGAAGATGGAGGAAGAGGACGGCACCGAATGTCTCGTGCTGCGCAAACTGCACTGGTTTACTGTACCTAGAAACGACCTGGTTGTAATTGGTACCGTATCGGACGATCGTGTGAAACCTTGCAACGAGCACCTAGGCACCGGAATAGTAAGCTTTTGGGGACAGAGTTTAGGTGGTGATGTCGAGGTAGTTCGAAGTCCGAGTTTGGTTTGCATAAAAGGCAAGATAAGCCCTCTAATAAACGTTCTTCCACCATCTTGATCATAGTGTTCAAAAATTTATCTGTGCTGTAACCTTTTTATTAGATCGTCCGCCACAGCGCGACGGTGTCCGTTTCATGTTCCTAGACTAAGCTTGTTCATTTCTAGATAGTGGACTATCTGGAGAATATCAACAAATGAAGCAAGCGCGAGTATACTGTGATGATCGTGGAGCGCTGCCTCATGTCATGTCAACAGGTCATACTAGGTATTTCACAGCACAGAGGAAGTTATTGCTAGTTTGGCTGCTTGCGGGGATCGCTCCGTTTGTTCTCCAGATGCGCAGCTATTTGAAATTCGTGACGCCACACAAGATAACTCAGACTTTAATCGTACCTTCTGGAATTCCAGAGGAGACAACGAATCTCGAGGAACTTTGTCCTGTGCGTGCACTGTTCTTGTCTGGTGTGTGGTGGAACGTTGAACCAACGCATTATTATATAGTCAGAGGCAACCGTATCTGTCATTTCGTCGCTCCTCAGTACAACACACATGGGAACTATTTAATTGGACCGACGAAAGTTGATCCATACGATACGACACCATCGAATTGTGCGGACGATAGCTACGCGTTTGATCAGTACTTTTATCATGGAAGTTTTGGCTACTATTCCTTCTACGAGGAGCAGACTGGAACCTACTGCGCAAAGGACAACATTGTGTACATTTACGGTCATGGCCTGGGTTCGTTTGATATTAACGGATCATTCCTCGCTAAAGACCGGGGCAACTCTGGCTATTGACATTCGTTTTATTACGGCCTTGTTGGTTCGATATGGGTCACGTATCGAGCGCTTGTGTTACGGCGAAGTTTTATTTCTTGTAAACGCTATGGCCGGAGATGCGATGAAGCGGGTGAAAACCTTAATCGAAAAGAAGCCGTCATTTTTGTTCAAGAGAATTTGCGACTTTCCGCTCACGGTGCTACGATCTACCACAGATTCGCGTTGGTTTACTTGCTGGTTGAAGGAATTATGACGGATTTATTTCTTCTCATTGCGAATGAAGGTATCTTGGCGAAGATTCAGTACGTCTCCCTGGGCTACAATTTGTCGGGGTTCCTCTTGCTGATCTATGAGATCGTTGAAGCCAGCAACTGCTTGCGTGAAAAATACCGACTATTTTTCAAACGACTATGGTTCAGCTACGAGACAGCGTTTCTTGGGGAGCTACTGAGTGCCGCACTTCAAGAGCAAATGATCACAGCGTTGAACCAAGCGAATATTTTCGATAAATCCAAATCAACAGCGCTCGCAGTGTCCTACTACTTCTGGAGCTTGGTAGGTCACGGAGTCTTCGTTCTCGCTCTTACAAGCTTCGTGTTATCCGTCCGCACGCTTTGGGCGATTGGATATGCCTGGTCTAGACATCAGCACCATGTACGGGCAATTTTTACCGAACCGTGTTGTGTAGACTCGGTTTTGAAGCTGCGTAACAAGATGACTTCGCTGGGAGGGTATCGCTATGACAATGGCAAGTTGTACTATGGAGCAAGTGCGTTGAAAGCATTTGGGTTGTTACAGCTCGAGGAGAAAGACGGTATAGAGTATCTCGTCTTGCAGAAGCAGTATTGGCTAGGAACAAAGAGGGGCAATTTATTTGTGATTGGCACCATTTCAGGTCAGGGTGTGGAACCCTGCGAAGAGCGTCCATGCACTAGTGAAGTTGCATTTTTTAATCGAAGATTGGGAGGTACGCTTGACGGATCTGGTAGTCGCCGCCCCCTGTACATTCACGTTAGAAGAGAGGTAACGCCAATAAATAACTTTTAAGGGGTTTAAGTGAAAAAAAAAAACTCATGTTTACACGGGAATATTTATCAGAATTCTAGACCTGCACAGTGATATACTATCCGTTATCTATTTTGCAAAAATATAACGAAACGGGATCACTTGTCTGCAGGCGATCACGAGGAGGCTTGAATGAGGAAGACTAAAGTGCATTGCGATATCAAATTTCAGCCCCATGTTTCGCGAACAACACGTTCAGATCACTACATGACAGCACAGCGCAAACTACTCCTAGCGTGGATCGTTGCTGGAGTGCTTCCGTTCATTTTGCTGCTACGAAGTTACCTGAAATTTGCAACACCGCACAAGATTACACAAAACCTTGTGATACCGACAGACTTGGAGAAGGAGAGTGAGAATCTAGCAGATTTTTGCCCTGTCGAAGGTATGTTGTTGGCAGGATCCTGGTTCAACATCCAGCCTACACACTACTTCACCACTGAACAAGGCCGACTCTGCCATTTTGTTATCCCCCAGTACAACGTCCACGGCACATTTCTCATTGGAAATAAGAGTGTTGATCCATATTACATGACACCTACGAGTTGTGCTAACAGCAGCCTCAAGTATTCACAGTATTTTTACCACGGGAGTATCGGGTATTATTCGTTTTACGAGGAACAAACGGGTAGCTATTGTCCTAAGGATAAAACGGCGTACATTGTTGGCCAGGGGCTTGGTACGTATGACATCAATGGACAATTATTGGCTGAAGATAGAGGTCGTAGCCAGTACAGATATTCACTTTGGTACAGCTTTGGCGGGGCGATTTGGATCGCATATCGCGCACTAGTCTTGCGGAGGAGCTTCATATCAAGCAAACGACAAGGTCAAATGTGCGATGAAATGAATGAAGATCTCAATCGCAAAGAAGCTTTAGTGCTTGTTCAAGAAAATTTGAGACTAGCAGCTCATGGCGCCACTAATTACCACCGAGCTGTCGTGTTTTATTTACTGGTTGAAAGTATCATGACAGACTTGTTTCTCCTGATTGCCAATGACGGATTTTTGACCAAAGTTCAGTATGTGTCGATGGGTTACAACTTATCTGGGTTGCTCGTACTGGTATTTGAGATTATCGAAAACACGAGATGCTTGAGCGAAAAACTACGAGTCTCAATCAAACGGTTATTATTCAGCTATGAGACCGCGCTGGTCGGAGAAATTTGTACTGCTGCGCTTCAGCAATACTCGCTGACAGTTTTGAATCGATCAAATTTGAGGGAAACTAGATCCACAGCTTTGGCAGTATCCTATTATGCCTGGAGTTTGGTTGGCCACGGAGTGTTTGTCCTTACTACGATTGCACTTGTTATATCCACTCGAGCATTGTGGTCACTTGGATATGTGTGGATAAATCACCGAACATTTGCAGTCATCACAGCGCCGTGTTGTGTTGATACCATTTTGAAACTTCGGAATAAAATGTCACTACTGGGTGGCTATCATTGGGACAACGGCAAGCTGTATTATACGACAAGCGCATTGAAATCATTTGGAATATTGAAGGTGAAAGAGGAAGACGGCATGGGGTTTCTCGTTCTTCGCAAGATTCGTTGGTTTCGAGTTCTAAGAGACGACCTGTTCGTCATTACAACCATATCGAATCACCAAGTGGAACCGTGTGATCAACGGCGTAGTACCGGTGTGATAAGCTTTTGCGATCGAAGATTGGGTGGCCCACTTGTTGAGATCGGAACGCGTGATTTCAACAAGGGGTCCATTCTTGTTAAGCAAAAGAATAATCCACCATCTACGAATGAGAATTGTTAAATTGGTTTCCTCTAGCGGACATACAGATATATCTTCTTGGAGGAGGAGCAATACCAATATTTCTTTGTATTGTGCGTATTTCCAAGTATTGGCGGCAGATCTCGATAAGCTCAAAAGAATAACTTACTGCAAATATCTACTGAAATTTGAGTTTTCAAAATCAAAAATTCGCGCTTAAAAAAACACACCCACAAACAAAAAAATCCAATAAAACATCCGCACATGACATTTGAACATTCACTCTTGAGGTGTGCCGCATGGAGGCGTCTAGCCCCGCCCGCATGGCCTCCGCCGAGCTGCGGGCTACGGTGTCAACGCTGCCGGTGCATCAGGAGCAGAGCAGCAGCAGCGACAGTGACAGCGACGTCGAACAGTCCACAAGAAGCGCCAAAGCCAAGCACATAAACCGTCAACGCTCCAACAACTCCAGGTTCTTACTGGTACCGCGCTCCTCAAGCCTCGGATACGAGCCCCGCAGGCCTCTCGCAGAGACTGGAGACCCATGTATGCTAGCTGCAAGCGAGAGCGACGAAGTGACGAGTCTAGACGCGCTGGAATCAGATACATCCGAGCAGAATCAGAACCAGGAGCCTGTAGACATTGTCGTGGACCAGGAGGACGTACCAAGCTCACAGATGTCGCTGTCTACACGCTCTCAGCTTGGTTATGAGTCAGCTCCATCCTCTTCGGGTCTGGATCCGCTCTCTACGGCCGAGAGGGACTCTATTAGTTTGATCAAGAGGGAAGTTCTGAGACCTCCAAAACGATCTGGATTACCAGAGATGACGAGCAGCAGAGGAGAAGAGAGTAATAGAGGAGGGCCCACTAGAAGAAAGCAAGTGCCTTATGCCTGGATGCTGGCCAAATTGGGGCAGAAGACGAGGAGGAAGATCGGAGATATCCGGAATTCCTACTTTGCAGGCTGGTTGGTGGCCTGTTCGTTGTTTGTGGTGCTGTTGAATACCTTTGCTATCGCTATTGTGCAGCTCACGTACGATCCAGAGGGTAAGATTGGAGAAGACGCTGATACACGACGACAGTGCCGACATTGGCTAAAATTACTGATGACGATGCACTTTTTGGGCCTCCCGAACATTCTATTGATCGCTCCTGTGGTATTTCCCAACGATTTCTTCTCGCTGTATCGAGCAAAGGACAAGAGGATGATTCGAAGGCCGTATTTGCTGTTCTGTGAGATGATCGTGACGATTCAACTGGGATTCATGATGTACGTCGCAGTGAACCAGTTGCTGAACGTGCCGGTGATTGTGGATTGCCATAGCGAGCTGAAACCACGACAAATTGTGTTGTTCTACTCCGCGACGGTGCTTTGGTTGGTGCTTCTTCGTCAGATCATCGTCTTCTGTCGCTTTTTGACCCATTTAAAACTTCAAGCGGATAGTTCCAACGATTCTTCCCACACTTCAGCATTTGGCAACTGGTTCAGAGCTCTGAAGGCGATCCCTATTAGAAGCGAGCGCACGAGACTTGTGAAGGAATTCAAGAAACTTCTGTATCGTGCAGTCGCTCGTGGTGATGTCCTCACGGTAGAAACGCTGCTATCTGAGGCAGAATCCAAGTACAAGATCAACCGGCTGCAAGATTTGTACAAACCTCCTGTCTTGTGGTTCTATGCTTTCGCGAAATCAAGGAAGAACCCACTGCACATCGCCGTTAAGCGAGGCAACATCAGGATTGTGGAGCTCTTACTCGAACATGGAATGGACGTGAACGTACTGGACAAAGTGGTGCGCGTGAATTTTAACGTTGGACTGGTGTTCAAGATCATCAGTCGCATACTGGTAAGCGTAACTATCGATAACAGATGCTAGTCCTAGTTAGATAACCAGCACGTCTCTGTTATCGCAGGTTCGAACACAAGACGGACTTCGATCTCCTTTGAAGACAGTTCTATGCTCAGTGCTGCTCCCTCCACTCCACGGTGCTGTGGCTGAAGGTTACGTTGACATCGTGCGTTTGCTGATCAGCAAAGGTGCCGACGTGAACGCATTGCCACGAGCCTCGTTCTACTATCCAGCAGCCGTCCTGCCTCCCATTTTCGTAGCAGACGACCCACAAGTGCTTCGTTTACTTGTAGCAAACGGCGCGAACTTCCTCCAAGTTGCGTCTGTATCTCTCGAGGGGCTTATCCGCACATACGCAACGCCGCTGCAGCAGAGTACCTTCACATTGAGATCAGATCTGAGCGACTATCTATTGGAGTGTGGCGGTGATGTAGCGCTGACGCCACTTCACCAGGCTGCAGCCACCGACAACGTTGGGAAGATCAAGTGGCTTCTGGCTCGTGGCATTCGCGTTGACACCTTAGGAGAACGCGTTGAAGGTGTGCACCGTCGTACGCCACTACACTGGGCCGCAGTTGTGGGCAAGGTGAACGCCGCTAAGCTGTTGCTGAAGAAAGGAGCTAATCCCAACGCGAAAGACCGTGATGGCCGCACGCCGCTGCATTGGGCGGCCAGAAACAACCACGACGAGGTGGTATCTTTACTGCTGGCGTACAACGCATATCCTGATGCCACTGACGATGAAGGAATCCCTGTCGTGTGCTTTGCTGCTGAAGCTGAAGGCGTGGAGTCGTCGATTTTCTCGAACCTTGTAGCGGCAGGCGCGAGTCTTAAGACTCAAGTGTCGGGAGGAAATACTGCGCTCCATATCGCTTTACAACGAGAAAACAGACAGACGGCAGTGTCGTTGATCAAGTGTGGATCCAGTATGATGATCACAAATGACTCTGGCAAGCGAGCAGTGGACTGTACGACGTCGACGGAGCTGCAGTTTTTGCTCAAGAAAGAGGCCGGGACTCGCAAGATTATGATATCGTACACCCACACGCATGCGCAATTTGCGTCCAAAGTCCGTGAGCATCTGGAGACGCAGGAACAGCTCACGTGCTGGATGGATACGATGGATCCCAGCGGTATCGGTGGTGGCGCTGTCTGGCGAGAGGAGATCGCGCGTGGTATCCATAACTGCTCACTTGTGCTGAGTATTGTATGCGATGGCTACACTAAATCTGAATGGTGTCTGAAAGAGCTTGCACTCGCGAAGCTACTTCGTAAGCCAGGTACAGTGTGTTCGCGTACGTTTGATGGATTTATTATTCTATGCTGACCTTGTTGTTGTCATTCTTTGTAGTGCTCGGTCTGATTGTAGAGGAAGATCATCCTGCGTCCATGGCAGCGTTGGAGGTAGGATCTATCGCGTTGTTAATGATCTGGTTGAGTGCTTACACCGTTACTATTTCCGAGTGTAGTCACTTATCCCGTACAAGAACCGGATCCCTTTCAACGACTTCATCATCGCACGACGTCAGGAGAGTCCCAGGACGGTCATTTTCGATATCGACGATGCTGCGTTTGCCAGGAGATGGCAAGTAACGCGTCCACTGATGATTTCAATCATGAAGGACGGACGGCAGCTGGATAAGGAGGAGCGCGAGAACGTGGCGTCGATTGTGCCGCGTCGAAGAAGACGTCGTCGCAAAGCAAGACTTGCCGCTATCCAACAAGGTGAAGACATGTCCAGCACTGATGATGAAGGTGCCATCGCTTCTGGTAAATCAGGTGAGGAGCCTTTGCTCATTTATTCCCCGCTTGGTGCTGCGAGTCCTCTTCGAGTCAGAGTGAAGGCAGATCTTGAATGTTTTGGATTCCCGTGTCGTGATCTGGATGAAACTCGTCTAGTTCAGCAGATGAGCACTTGTCGGGCTGTGGTTCTACTTGTTGAAGTGCCTGTTTCTACGGGAGAAAAGGGATCAGACGAAGCCAAGGCAAGCAGACTTGTGCGAAAGCAGCTGATTGCTTCGATGACTCGCATTGTAACGGCAGCCCAGACTGTCAGTCCGCGAAAAAGCGTCTACCCAGTGCTCGTGCAGAACAATTTCCTTGACCTCAGCAAGATGTACACTCTTGCGCGATCGGAGCTTTTCTATTTCGTGGACGGTGGCGGCTGGTCTCGTAGTGTTGGACGATTGGTAGATCATCTCCGACTGAAACAGGAACGGACTAGCAGCAGTGGTGTCGTGACCGGATAGTTGGTATCTGACCTTGCTACTGGAAAGATACAGACTGCTTTATCATAACGGAAGGGGTCCCCAATGTGTCCGACGGGAAACGGATGTCATGGCTACGGGAAAACGATCCGTACGATCCTACGAAGCATTTGAAAGCGCCAAGATCGATAGCAAAGGCAAGACGAAAGAGGAGAGACCTGGATCAATGCCTGACGATCCAATCTATAGGATGCTCTTAGCTTTGAACGTGAGATTGGACCCCTGCGCTGCCAAAGATTCCGAGATACTGCTGTGAAGGGATCTTCTTCCCGTCTACGTGCTCTCAAAGCTGGTGGGGAGGGGGCAGTGACTTTAATACCTGATCAAGTACTAGGCAGCACGGGTGGAGCTCAGACGAAGAAATATTTCCCGCAAAGACGTTCCGATTCTTGTCTGGATCCGATATACCATCAAGAGGGAGATGATGCAACGGCAACATTAAATGAAATTTTAGTGTGAAGATGCCCGCTTGTTGCAGCTGGACAAACCACGCAATTTGAAAATCCGGACTTATATGCGTGGAAGAACAATGACAGGCTTCGGGGTTGAGCGAGTACAACGTGTATTGCGGTAAGAGCTCCTCATCGTATTGTAGCTACGAATGTCTAGTATAGTCGCAAATTGTATAAACAAAGTAGTGAAGATTTTACACTTGATGCCGACTGTACCAGTTTGCTGATAACTTACAAGCACTAACAAAATATTATTCTTTAACAACATCTTGAGAAGGAAACACTAGGATTTTGTTCTTCGCGCGGACTGACCGAACACGACGACTCCCTCCTTCAAGCGGACCTCCTAAACTCCGATCGAAAAAGCTCACTACCCCTGTACACGGTCGTTCACTGCACGTCTGTACATACTGCTTTGTCACGGATCCGATCACCACAAGGTCATCTGTAGGTACTTTGAACCAGTGTAGTTTTCGTAAAGCCATGAACTCTGCACCATCGTCCTCCTCTACTTTCAAAAGTCCGAACGCTTTCAACGCATCGGGTTTGTAGCACAGGCTCCCTTCTATCCAGCAATAACCTGTCAACATTGTCATCTTGTTGCGTATTCCCAGAGTAGAATCTACACAGCACGGAGCTGTTAAAATAGACCATATCTGACCGTGTTTCCGCCGCACACAAGTTACCGCACGCACTACGCGTACTGACATTATGCAGCCAATAAGCGAGAGTACAATAACGCTATGGCCCACTAACCCCCACGCATAATACGAGACTGCCCGTGCAGTTGGTCCTGATCGCTTTAAATCCGAGTGATTTAATGCCGTTAGAACACTTGCCTGACCGAATGCACTCAAAAGTTCACCAAGTAATGACGACTCGTAGCTAAATAACAAGCGCTTAATGAAAAGTCTGGATCTCTCACGCAGCCACTTCATGTTCTCAATCATCTCGAACAGAATCAACAGCATACCCGACAAATTGTAGCCGAACGAGATATACTGAAACCAGGCAAAAATTCCGTCGGTTGCCACGAGAAGGAATAAGTCGCTCATGATGCCTTCAATTAGAAGATACAGGAGCATTAACCGGTGGTAATTCGTCGCTCCGTGGGCTGAAAGGCGCATATTCTCGTGCACGAAAACCATGGCTGTCCTTCGTCGTAAACTTTCGTGCATTTGATCGCATCTTCGTCCGTATCGCTTACACGCGATATAACTCCGTCGAATTACGAGTACTCGGTAAATAATCCACACCATTCCAACTGTGCCGTACCAGTATGAATGACGATAATCGTAGCTACCTCTATCTTCTGCTAATAGAGACCCGTTGATGTCGAAAGTACCGAGGCCGTCAATGACCCCGTACATGGTATGGTCTATTGTGCAGTACGTCCCGACAACCTCTTCGTAGAACGAGTAAAAGCCAATACTGCCGTGGTAAAAGAACATTTCTAGCGAGAAGCTGTCATTAGCGCAGCTGGAAGGCGCTGCATGGTACGGTTTTACTCTCTCAGAGCCTACAACATATCGTCCGTGACAGTTGTATTGAGGTGCAACAAAGTGGCAAAGCCGTCCATGATTCAAGTTGTAGTAGTGTGTCGTCTCAACATTCCACCAAACCTGAGCCATTTGCAGACCGAATGCAGGACATAACTCTGTCACATCATTCATCTCTTGAACTGCATCCGACGGCACTACGAGAGTCTCCGTCATCTTGTGTGGCGTCGCGAATTTCAGGAAACTTCGTGCCTGAAGAATTAGCGGAATCATTCCAACGACAAACCAGGCTGTCAGCAGCATGTGTTGTGCTGACAGAACCGCACCAGACGAGACCATCGAGTCGCCCGATACTTGGCTAGTACTGCGCACTTGTGACTTCTTCATCGACTAAGCCAACGGTGCTCTAGAGGGGCTGTACGAACTATTCGCGTGAGGTATTGCACAATCTCATCAAACCAATATACTTTGTTGTACTTTGACACAATAAATATGGTTTATTTTTATGTTGTAATAGTTAAAAGTTTCCAAACAAAAATATCCGACCTCTTCCATGTATATTACCTGCAACTCGACTACTATACTTGTCGATGAAGCAAGCGCTGGTGCATTGTGTGAACGAAGGACCTTCACGTCATTTGACGAACCAAGCGATCAGGAGGAACGATGAATTCGCGACTGCGGAGCGAAAACTGTTAGTGATGTGGTTTGTGCTGGGTCTGGCGCCTTTGATTCTTCAAACTCGAAGTTTCCTGAAGTTCGTGACACCGCACAAAGTGACCACGAGTCTCGTAGTACCGCCCGATGTTGATCAAAAGACAGTTAATATGACTGAGTTATGTCCTGCATTGGGACTTCAGATGGCCCAAGTCTGGTGGAATTTTGAAACTACACACTACTACGACACACAACAAGGGCGACTCTGTCATATCGTTTCTCCACAGTATAATTGCCATGGAAACTACGTGGTTGGGACTGAGAAGTCTAAAGCTTCTTCCCAGGCTCCAACCAGCTGTATCAACAACAGTTTTGTTGCTGAAATGTATTTCTACCATGGTACCATTGGTTTTTATTCCTTTTACGAAGAGATCACAGGAACCTACTGTACAACTGATCGTACGATTTACGGACGTATTGCTGGACTTGGTACATTCGATATTAATGGTTCTTTATTAGCACGAGATGGCGGCAGTCATGGATATAGAATGTCGTATTGGTTTGCTACGGTGGGGACAGTGTGGATCCTGTATCGAGCAATCGTATTTCGACGAAGTTACGTTTCTTGTAAGCGTTTTGGGCGTAAATGTGATGAATTGGGTGAAAATCTTGATCTCAATACAGCTACAGTGTTTGTATATGAAACTATGCGTCTTTCAGCTCACGGTGCAGCGAATTATCACCGTGTTGTGTTGCTGTACCTCTTGGTTGAAGGGATTATGAGCGACTTGTTCTTACTCGTGGCAACTGATGAAATGTTTGCCTGGCTTCAGTACATTTCATTCGGCTACAACTTATCTGGCTTGGTGCTGCTGCTGTTTGAGATGATCGAGAACATGGGATGGTTAAATGAGCGTACTCGACTCTGTATTAAACGCTTGTTGTTTAGCTACGAATCTTCTTTGTTTGGGGAACTTCTAAGTGCGATTGGCCAGTCCCATTTCCTCACATCTCTTAGTCATTCGGATCTGAAAGATTCGGGGTCTACAGCACGCGCTGTTTCCTACTATGTGTGGGGTTTAGTGGGCCACGGTGTAATTGTGCTTCCCCTTATTGGATTCATTATGTCCGTACGAATCGTTAGGGCGATCACTTACACGCGCTGGCGATATGGCGTAGACTGGAATGTTTTTATAGCGCCGTGTAGCGTTGATACGACGCTGGGAATGCTCAGCAAAATGATGATGTTGAGAGGCTACGAATGGATGGAGGGAGAACTCTGCTATAAACGTGATGCACTCAAAGCGTTTGGAATTCTTAGAATGGAGGAAGATGGTGCTGAATTTCTAGCTTTACGCAAGCTTTGTTGGTTTCATGTACCGAGACATGAATTGGCAGTAATTGGAGCTGTGTCAGGGCAGCGTGTGGAGCCGTGTACCGAACGACCATGTTTGGGCGTGGTGGGATTTTTCGACCGAAGTTTAGGTGGTTCTATCGCTGAAACAGGGAGACAACGCCTTGCTATGATTCATGGCAGGAGTCGAAGTATACTTCGACCAGCTCCGCTACATATATTCCCAGCACCTTAAGTATTCACGTATATAGCTGTAGTGGCAGCATCAAGCATCGATCTCATCGATTTTTCGTAGAAAAAAAATGCGCCAGTATTTCGTACGTAGTACACACAGTACACTCACCACCAGTGGTGGCGCCAGTATTAAACCTCAGCATCATTTCCTGCAATTTGTCGAACGGCAAAATATTTTTTCTGCACTTTTCCGGTTAATTGTTAACCAGACCAAAAACCTTGAATTGTTAGACGTTGGTGATCGGATTAGTATCGAACTTCTAAACGCCAGCACTCAGGGAAAAAGGACTGAGTTTACTTTGTTTGTGACGCTCGTCACCAACTGTATCCTTACATTGTATTGCATGACACATGCACTTTACGTACTGTTGATAAATACAAGGTGTGCATAGATTCGTTATCCATAAAATCCATCTACGACATCTACATGTATTAATACAGCAGTCGTTGTGACTGATACGTCGCCCGCAAGTACGAAGCGTATTCATCGATGATTCCTAGAGTATAGCTACGATGCTCTCAGTGTTATTCTGCATTTTGTCGTCCAAGAGCCAGCATCACCGTCACTTGCCCTCTGTTCGGTTACGGAAGATCATGCATCTATATCGCATCGTGCTAGCCGCTGCAATCACCCTTCTTGCAAACTCTAACGCTCAGTCGCCAGCTACGGGTGGAAACTTCATTTCTGAGTTGCAATCTCAGCACGTGCAGTCGATCGATACCGTTGCCAGCAATATGAATCGAATGCTGAGGTCCCACGAATCAATCGACAGTGAAAAAATCGGAGGGTGAACAAAGGGCCAAACTCGACAAGGTGGTCTCAGATTTGACGGGCGATGCTGCCGCCGCAGCTACGAGGCTTACCAGGTCCAAGTCCTCACTATCTCTTCGTGCCCGAGTGAATAGACGAAGAAATTGCGGCGCTTGAGAAATTTTACAAGTCGATCAAAGCACAAAGCAAGGCGGTGTTCAACCGGTTAGCGACAGAAGAAAAATTAACCCAGAGCTGGCATTTACCCAGTGGGGCATCAAAGGAAAGCTCCAGACAAAGTCGATGGACCAGCTGACTAAAGATCCCATGGAAACAGTACAAGAAGTACTGGGACAAACTGCACCCGAAAGCCTAAAGTGTCCCGAAATGAATGGGTGGTGTAGCGGAGACATCTGTGACTATCTCCGTCATGGACTAAACTACCGAACGATCTTAGTCACGCTCATAATTGAAACAGAACGTGTCAAGGGTTTTCCACTTTTACTTTACTCATCCAAGACATTTTAGCTCTTTCATTCTCGCTTTGCACAAACATTTTTGCCTTAGTTTTACTAATGTTTTAGTCGTGCTCAGACAACACTACAAATAGCTCGACTTTCAGTTTCATGATAGTATAGCTTTCCCCTCCCAAGCATGCTGTGGCGACCATGAAGCTGGGAAGGGTGCTCTCCTTACCACAAGGACCGCCAGGTCAAATGACACGGCCGACGCAAAATACCAGTATTATGACATCTCAGAGGAAGTTGTTGCTGGCATGGTGGTTCATTGGCTTGTTTCCGTTCACCCTGCAAATTCGTAGTTACTTGAAATTTGCAACACCACACAAGATCACGGAGACCTTGCTGGTGCCACCAGGACGACAACCAATAGCAGACGATTTGATGGAGAAGTGTCCAATGAAGGGATTTCACATTAGTCATGTGTGGTGGAATGTCGAAGTTTCGCACTATCACAAACTTGACCATGGACAGCTGTGCCATTTCGTCGTCCCACAATACAACAGTCACGGTAATTATTTAATAGGAACGTCAAACGTGGAATCATTCATCTCATCACCAGCGAGCTGTATCAACAGCAGTGTTTCCGTTGATTTATTCCTCTATCACGGAAGCATCGGCTATTATTCATTCTACGACGAACTCGTTGGCACCTACTGCACCAGGGATCATACAGCGTACATGCATGTTGCTGGACTCGGTACTTATGATATCAATGGGGTAGCCCTAGCAACGGACCCTGGTAGTCATATGTACCGGTGGTCGTTTTACTACAGCATCGTTGGAGCCATTTGGATTGTTTTTCGCGGTCTCATTATCCGTCGCAGCTACATCTCCTGCAAACGCTATGGTGACAAATGTGACCGCATGGAAGTAAAATTGGGTCGGAAATCAGCGACGATCTTCGTCCACGAGAGTCTGCGTCTCTCAGCGCATGGCGCATCAAATTATCATCGCGTGCTGTTATTATATTTCTTGTTGGAAGGGCTCATGAGCGACTTGTTCTTGCTCGCCGCAACCGATGGATCTTTCACTTGGATCCAATACGTCTCACTCGGGTACAACTTGTCTGGAATATTACTCCTCTTGTTCGAGTTTGTGGAAAACACGGGATGTATTTCCGAAAACCACCGTCTATTCATCAAGCGCCTGATCTTCAGCTACGAGTCATCATTACTCGGAGAGCTTCTTAGTGCACTAGGACAGTCTTATGTTCTCACATCGCTGAATCAATCGGATTTACAGCGTACAGGCTCGATTGCACGTGCTGTATCCTACTACGCATGGGGTTTAGTTGGACATGGAGCGATCGTTTCAACCCTCGTTGGGTTCCTCATGTGTGTGCGAATTGTACGTGCAGTCACGTATGTGCGCTGGAAGTTTGGGCAAGGTAATACTTGGAATATTTTCTCGGCACCATGCTGTGTTTGTTGACACTACCCTCGGTGTACGCAATAAGATGCCAAAGCTTGCAGGTTATCATTGGGAGGACGGGAAATTATTCTACCAAGCCGATGCTCTGAAATCGTTCGGTTTGTTGAAAATGGAGGAAAAAAATGGTGTCGAGTTCCTTGTGCTACGTAAACTGCATTGGTTCAAAGTGTATCAAGACGACTTATTCGTCATAGGATCTGTGACGGGACAACGTGTTCAACCTTGTAGTGAACGAATATGCTCCGGTGTTGTTAGCTTTTTCGATCGGAACTTGGGGGGCCCCACCCATGAATGTGGAAGTCCCCAATCTCAAGCTTTTTGCGTAATGAACAAGGTGGCTCCATCTCCTTCACTGATAAGTATCCTTCCATCCTGACATGTGAAGTCAGATTCAAGTTCGAAACTTGTTGCCGATTTGGAAAAACCGATGTTACCAGAATGAAATGTCCATGTTACAGAAAGCAAGGCAAAATTTGTAAATGGCAAAAACAAAAAGCTAGACTCGTTTGTATTTCTCGTGGTGCTGACGACGGCAGGTGTAGGAGTTCCTCCTCGTTTTTTTTTGCTGCCCTTATGTCGTCGCTTAGAGTTGCGGCAAATGAATGAATCGCGTTCGTCCATCTCTTTGTCGAAAAGCTCAATGGTCTGGCCAAACGCGGTCACGTGTTGCGCTTTCTTCTGCATCTGTTGTTGCTTCTGCTGTTGCTTTTTCAGCGCATGTGAAGCCGCGAGTTCAGCTTTCGCCTGTTTCTCAGCGTTTCGGAGGCCAGTAGGTCCTAGGCGACAGCGCGGCCTCCGTTGGCATTTGAGACGACTGCACCACTGGTGTCCAGTGCCAAATCCAGGTCCGAGAACATGGACACCATGGCCAATTTACCGGCGGTTGATCCTGGAGCAGTAGATACCATTGCACTGCTGCCGGTTGCACCCAGAGATGTAGTGTTATTGCCTTTCAAGAACAAAAAAACTTGAAATACGAGTTCAAAAGGGTTTTCCTACTGCATCTTTTGCCACCGACTGGAGTTAGCTTTGGAGTAGTGTTTCTTGAAGAGCTTCATGCTGCTGTCGTACAGTGTATTCGGACGCTAACTCGACTAGGACTGTACAAACGGCGGTCCAAATAGGTGAACAAAGTGATTCAACAGCAGGACTCAAAGCAACGGCTTACCTTCAGGTAGCAAGTCTGCTACGAGCTCCTTGATCCAGTCGTCGAATATATCCGTGGCTACAGCGACAGCCGTCGGAATCGCTGCTCGAGAGAGATCAATCTTCTGCGCTAGATATGACTTAACCAATGCCTGAAGCACGTCGTGGAAGACATCGCGGATACTCTCGTCGATAAGCGACACGAGGACGTTCCCCGCCAATGAGGAAGCAAAGTCTTCTCTGCGCTTGGTTATCGCCGCCTCCTGTGAGAACCGCAAGCAAATCAGCCCAATAAATGCTCATAACGCGCTCTATCATTTTTCTTACCGCCGAACAGGTCTCGCGTAGGACCTCGAGCAAGCAAACAGGCACGAGGCTGATCATCTCCCGAAGCAGAAAAACGTCCAGGAAGTCCTGTGCTTGCTTCGCTAGGCGTTGGTGCAGCCGATTGTGAGTAATCCGTCGCTGTCGGTAGAAGCGATATTCTCGCTACGCACATGAAGTGAAGAAATGAGCAAAGCAATGCAGCGCAGCAAGATGAGCACTTAATGCATCGAGAACCTGGATCGTGGAGGCGGCGGTGTGCTGCAGCTTCGACATCGTAGCGAGCGAGCGCATGCGCTGGCTCCGCATAGTCGGCTTCAGTGGGAGTGGAATATCATCGTCTACATCGCTAGAGTTGTAATTGCTACTGTCCTCGTCACTCTCAATGGTATCGTAGTCTCGTCGGCGGTGCTGTCTACCGTACATCTTCGTTTTGCCATGACGATGCCGAGTCTCGTAGTGATACTCGTATCGCGGGAACACCGGCGGCAAATAAACGTACGCTAACTGCGGCAATGGCTCAAACTTCTCGCGGTGCCTTCGTCGACGATATCGGCGGTGGTGATCGTCCCACTCGCGCTTGGCGTCAACTTCGAGCTGATTGCTGCATGCTGAACTCTGGAGCACCGGTAACAACACCTCCTCCGACGGTCGTCTACCCCTGGCAGCTTCAAGCACGAGCAGCACGACTCTCTTAGATCCACAACCTCCCCATCGTGCTGATCTCTCGGAGCTCGGCTCTAGGCACACGCACCTGCTCTGTGGCCCATGAGCTCAGCTATTGATTCGCTGCTTTACACACGTGTATTACATATTGCAGACGCTCTCAAACGGACGACGTACTTATGTCGCTAAAGATAGCCTACCGCCGGTAGGGTGGTAGGGCGGCAACGAGTACATGTAGTACATGAAGTAGAATGTTGGCAACGACAAGAAATGATCCCACGCAAGTACACACATACACACACACGCATGGATAAATATTGCAATGTATTTTACGTTGTTGCTTTCTAGATTGCAAAGAAACGAGTGGACTACTACACTTCTACTTACGTACTGCGGTTGGCGTCGGTTCCTCACTATCAACTGCTTTTGTGGGCCCTATAGATATATAGATATGGAGAACGGAGCAGGCTAGCTTGATGGCTGTCATGCCTGCACGCTGGAGTCTTTGCTGCCGCTCACTGCAGCATCTCATTGGACAGTTCCAAGTCGAGCGCCTCGTCGTGGCCGCTGAGTTGCACGAGGAAGACGCCGAGCAGGTTCAGTTGCTTCTGTAGCTGCGTCATGCTCGGGTTGTCCAGCAACTTAATGGACTTTAGCTGTGTGTTGGGCGTGCGTCGGGCCACGTACTGGATGGCACAGCGGTCCACCTGCGAGTCGCCAAGAGCGATCACCTGTTGCGGCTGCCGCTCCTGTCGCTGGACATACACGCCGTGGGTCTCCACGGGCGGTTCTGGCATAAAGCCACGCTTCGCGAGTAGGTCACGGTACACGGCGATCTTCCACTCAATGGGACGGTCGGGGTACACGCTCTCGAAGTTGGAGCGAGCCGAAATAATGGTCATCTGCTCCAGTAACGGCACGACGTTGGGTAGGAAGCGCTGGCAGGAGCGCTCGACCCAACCGGTCAAGCCGTTGGTGACGATACAGCACGTGCCGACCTTGAGGCAGGCGTTGATGAAATTTTCCACCTCCTTGGCGAGCTCTTCGAGTACAGGAACGCAGTCCTCGGGGACTTCGAAAGCCTCGTCTTCGGAGGAGAAGCCCAGCTTGGCCAGATGCGTGTTGGGCAGCAGAGTGTCATCCCAATCCAGAATAATCACTGTGGTGGAAGTAAAAATGGTTAGAAACAAATAGAACACGGACTGGAACTGACGGAAAGAACGCCAGCGAGCGCAACGGCGTCGTAAGAGACAAACGTACGAGGGGCGGGGGCGAGTTGCTGTTCAACGGCCTGCGTCGGCGACGCGGGCTCTTCGCGGACGGCGGTGCTGACGACGCGACTGACTCCCATTCAGTGTAGATAAGGAAAAGGTCGTTGCAGTTGTCTGGTATTTTGTGTTTTGACGCGAGGAACGCAAACGAAAAGACCCCGCAAGTCGTTGGCAGAGGCGTCATAGTGAAACCAAGTGACCCCGGAGCGAAAGGGCGCAGAAGCGTCGGACCTTTTGAGCTAACTAAGTCCTTAGAGTATCCCATATATTTCCTAATAAGGGGTAGGGGTGCAGTTCGGCAAAGACTTTTCGACGAGAACTACCAGTGCCTTTGGCTGTGCCCCTAGCACTGCTCCGGCTCCGAACAAGAGTCATCTGAGCTGTGTGAGCAAAGGCAAGCGCTGCTGCACTGCCTGCAGCTGTGCTGATAATGAGGGCGATCTCGCCCTCGCCGATGGTGGCTGACACAAAACTTGATCGCTGGTCTGTGGGCAGCCCAGCCCCCTTACAGGCTGTAGAGCACGCGTCTACGGTATTGGTACCACACCAGCTTCAACCACTACAGTCACACAATATCTGTGTACAGATTGCACTCTTGTTTTGAACTGTTTTCCGAGTCTGAACTTCAGACTGTCGTGGGACGATCCCCACAAATCCGCACGCGATGAACCTAGCTTCGTCTCCAGCGCGTTGTCCTTGATGTAGTTCGGTCGAGTTCTCACTGACCAAACTACTTCTCACCACGAGCGAAGGAATCAACGCGGCATGCGTGCGTGCTGCTTCGAGCAAAATCCATAACCCACCACTAAGTACGACAAGATTGTTGAAAACCTTTTCAAACCAAGCAGAAGTATCCGCACCAACATCCACCAACAACGAGGCATGTGTCGCTGTATTCTCTGCTCCGTTAAATATCCATCTCGTAAGGAGGTGGCTACAGTCGCTTCTACTTGCGCATGACTTCCTCCTTGACCTCCAGCACGTCGTCGTACGTGTGGCTCTGCACAATGTACTCGCTCTCGTCCTCACTGTCGTAGCCGTCCAGCAGCGCGATGTACTCGGCACGGCGCGCGGCAGCCGTCGCCAGACGCTTCTGCAGCAGCTCCTGGAACTCCTGCTCCTTGCGGTTGCGCTCCGCCTTCTCAGCGGCCAGACGCTCGCGCTCCTTAAGCCGATCCATCTGGTCGAAGCGCTTCTCGAACTTCTTGAGGTTCTTGACCACGTTGTTGTACTCCTTGTCCGACAGCAGCGTGCGCGGACGCGGACGCCACAGGAACTGGTAGAACGCGTCCTTCTTCTCCTCGAGAAGCTGCTTGCCCTGGAACGTCCACAAAGTGTAGCCATTGTCCATCGTGAACTTGTAGTACGAGTTGTCCAGCGGCTGGCACACAGCCGTGGCCACCACACGTCCAGACGGGTCCCACTCGACGTGAGTGCACTTAAAGTGCTCCTGCACGGTGATACTCTGCTGCTCCGTGGCGTCCCAGAACTCCAACTGGCCGTTGATCTCGCCCAGACCAGCCAGCACGATGTTGTTGCCCAGTGGCGACCAGTACAAGTGGCTGCAGGCCTTGTCCTTGAGTGTGTACAGCAGTGTCACCTCCTTCGCGGCCTTGTTACCGCCGTCCATATCATAGAACGACACGTTCAGACGCTGCTGGCCCTCGCCGTGGACAGTGGCGAAGCGTGTGCCCTTGGGCTCCCACGCGAACGCCACGATGTTCTCCTTGACCTCCAGCATCTCCACAGGCACCAGTTGCTCCTGCACTCGGAAGAGCTCGAAGTTGGTGTACATGGTCTTCTTCGACTTGGAGTGGCGCGTCACCTTCACGCACAGGAACGTGCCGTTCGGGTGCCAGTGCAGCTTGCAGTCGCTCACATTGAACAGGTTCTTCTGACGCACTTCGCGGCGCGACGGCAGCTCCACTAGCGACACACGAGCAGGCACATTGTTGCCCTCGGGGGCCCAGTAAGCCAAGATCGGGTCGGTAGGTGACCAGAAGAAGTCGTGGACGCCCTCAGCACGCAGCGACTTCTTCTCCAGCAGCTTCATGGACGGCAACTCGTAGATACTGATGACGTCCTTGCCACGACGAGCCACGTACTTGTCGTCCGCACTCCACTTGAACGGAGTCATGAGACCCTGCACCACTTCGCCCTTGGCGCCCGTGGGCTTGCCGGCAGGGAAGGCGCGCAGCATCTTGCTGGTCTTGACGTCCCAGATGATGATAGCCGACTCCTGCTCCGTCTCGCTCAGTGTGATGAGGTAGTTCTCGTTGGGCGAGAACACGGCCAACTTGACGTTCTTGTGGGCGAAGCGACCCACCTTCTCGTACTTGTCACCGCCCCAGAGAGCGATACCCTGCGGGTGGAACGTGGCCAGGTACGTGCCCTGAGGAGACCACAGAACGTACTGCGAGCACCATTGCTTGCCGTTCTTCTTCTCACGGTCACCGGCGTAGTCGAGCTCCAGCTCGCCCTTGTCGCTCCAGAAGATCTCCGTCTCCGAGCCGTGACGCAGCACGAACATGTCACGACGCGCAGGGTCCATGAGCCACGTCTTGAGGTTCTTAGGCTCAACGAACTTCTCCACCTTGGGGGGAACGAACTCCGTGGGCGTCTTCTGGTAGCGCTCAATGTCCTCGTACTTGTTCACCAGCATCGTGTGGCGCTTGTCCAGAGCAAAGTTGTTAATGGTACGCACAGCGTCGTTGGCGTGCGCCTCCTGCTCGTACTCGACGAACGCGAAGCCCGTGGTCTTACCGTTGGCGCCGAACGGCATGTGGATGTCCACCACGGTGCCCACCTGGCCGAAGATCTTCTTGACGACGTTCAACAGCTTGCCGTGCTTGGCCTCGTCCACAACGGGAAGGCCGCCAACCACAACAGCCATGCTGTAGTCGTTGCAGAAGTCTTCCTCTTCATGAGCCTTGGTCGTCACCTCATCCTCGACCTCCTCGTCGCTCAGGTAGTCGGCGTAGTGCTCCGCCTCGCGCTTCAGGTGCGCCAGCTTCTGCTCGAACGTCGTGGGCGCCATGGTGATACAAACAGAATGATGAAGGGGGCAAGCCCTACGCCAGTCATATTCATCCGGATAAATTCCGTCCGGATAAGGATGATTTGTAGTTTTGATCCTAAGAATATAGAATCAGTTTTGACCTACATCAAACTTTTGGTATCTGATAATACGTGTGTAGTCCTAGAAATGGACCGTTACGACGAAGAGACGCATCAACTGTCCTCTTCTCGCTTCTTCGTGTTGTTCGGAGCGTTCAGGGATGTTTGTGCGCGGAAAATGCTGCAGCATACAGCTCACTTGAGCTCAGAAGAATACTCGCTCGCTGCAGCGGATGCGGAACCCACATCTCCACCGTCGGCGGAAAGCTTCAGGGGCTGCGATCTCTTGCGCACTGCTGCTGCTGTCGACGCAGTTCCGAGTGGACGCTACCATTGATGTCCCTGCGCAGCTGCATCAACTTCAGCTTCAGAACTCAGCGAGTAGAGGCAACGGAGACACTGCCGCGCCTCAAGTTGTATTGACGAATGTTCCGGACTCGCTATTTCAACGGCTTTCGGAGAAATCGGTGCGGTGGGACGCGTTATCGGGGTACCTCCAACGAGCGCTGCTGTGGGATGCAGGTCTCGTGATGACAAGTGAAGGTCGACTTGTTCAAGTCTACGTGCCGTGCGATGAGGACATGTCGGTCATCTTGACGACGTTTGAGGCGTTCCGGGGCAAGGATTGCCCGCTGGGGACGTGCGAGTCGACAATGCTGTACTTTGCAGAGTCGACATGTTCACGCTCGACCGTGTGGAAGGCAGCTCAGTGCGGCATCCACGCAAGCGAGAAGAATGCAACGGATATTGTCGATGCACAGTCGAGCTCGCTTTGGTCCGAAGATGGGAGTTTATCGAGCGTCCCGGATGTTCGACTCTACAAGCACAAGCTAAACGACAGCGCCGGGTCGGATGGCATTGAAGAAGTTGTGGGCTCCGATTCTACCGGTAACTACACAATCGAGGCTGACGTCCTCTTCACAATAAACCAAATTGAACTGTTCCCGGCCACGATCGAGAGCTGTCCAAGCGATCCCTTCTTCGTCGCGCCGTGCATACAGTTCTACGACCTCCACGAGTCACCTGAAAACCCTTGGTGTCTTCCGAAACGCGGTGGGTTCGTTGATCTATGGCTTGATAGCGAAATATCGGGCGAATTGATGGCATCTGATAACTCCACAACTCCTGCATCGTCCCTCTCCAACGATGTCTCCACGGGTATTTCAGGGGAATCCGTTATCCTTGTGGTGCTTTTCATCCTGCTGGCAGCAGCCGTAGGAGCGCTGTTCGTAGTGCACGTCAACCGCATGAAGAGAGACGCGAGGATTGTCGAGTCGTCTCCCACAATCTTCGAGAGCGCGACGACAATGCGCTCAAAGCGCCGAACAAACGGTACACGAAATATGCTCTACAGTTATCGAAACTCCTTGAGTGAGTCTCGACGACGGCGGTCGATAGAATTGACAACCTTTTGCGCCGACGCGAAGATCGCATCAAGGCGCATTGCGTACGACAGCCTCACCTTTGACAGATTAATTGCACGCGGGGCTAACGGCGAAGTTTGGCGTGGCACCTGCGGCTCGCAAGTCGTGGCTATCAAGCAGCTTTTGCCCGAGAAACGTCACGATGAGAGCCATGTCATGCTGTTCTCCAACGAAGTACGACTCGCGTCCTCTCTCGAGCACCCTAACATTGTTCGGTTTGTGGGTCTGTCCTGGAATCGCGTGTGTGACTTGTGCATCGTCTCTGAGTTCATGGAGCAAGGAGATTTATCCGTGCTACTCAACTCCAAGAGGGGAGACGAACTCACGTGGGGCAAAGAGAAATTGGGAATCGCTACGGATATCGCCGAGGCTCTGGCTTATCTTCACGGCAGGCAACCGATTATCATCCACCGCGACCTCAAGTCGCTGAATGTGCTGCTTGACAATCGACTACGTGCCAAACTCAGCGACTTTGGGCTCAGTCGCGAGCGCTCGTCTGACGATACGATGACTAACGGTGTGGGTACTTTGCTCTGGACAGCGCCCGAGATCCTGCGCGGCGAGGCTTACAGTGAAAAAGCCGACGTGTATTCGTACGCCATTGTGCTGTCCGAACTGGACACGTGCTTGCCGCCCTTCACGCTCAATACTGAGGTGAGCGAGCGCCGTCTGACCACGATGCAACTCATGCACCTGGCCACGTCGGGCGAAGTCTCACCCCAGCTGCGCGACGACTGCCCCATTTCGCTGCAGCAGCTCACTGCAGCCTGCGCCTCCTTTGAGCCCAACCAGCGGCCCAACGCCCTGGAGATTGTTTTCACGCTTCGCAACATTGCTCGTACCATGAAGTTTGACGCCGCCAAGAGCGCGTAGCCATTCGTTTTCCTAGTGATGAAGCGATCGTACCGCACAAAAGTATCTTTTGATTTAAGTTGCATCCAATGGTGTACTAGTATCTGAAAGGCATTAATGATGAAGCCAAGTGCTTGAACGGAGAGTTTATCGATGCAGCTGTTCGCCAAGTCGGCTTCAACAGGCAATCAGAACGACCCAAACTTTTGCACAAACGCCAAATCGCCGCGTCTGCCAAGTCGTCGCGGTCCGAGGCAACACTTCAACGATTATGTTTGGAACATTCGCCACAGCTTTAGCTTAAATCGTTCTGTGGAGTTGAAGAGCGTATTGAATACACGTAGCACTTCACGTTCGTTTTGCACGACAGGCTTACCAAGAAGCGATAGCCAAGGTGATTAACTTTCGCCATAGAACCCAGGACGACAGCCTACCCGTTTATACCCGAAAGACAAAGAGGGAGCAAGATCTCCCCATCCTCCATATTCAAGTCAAGTAAAACCGACATCGTGCACCTCTCTTCCAAGCCGGTGGTGGAATTGGATTCCGAATCCAAAATGCATCGACTAGCAATCACTGGAGCCGCAAGTTTCGGATGAGATCGTCTCTAACTTTAAATGCAGTCGGGCATCGTAAAGATCCGATACACGTACTGTGTCTTCGACTGCGTCTTCGAAGCAACAATTCTATTGCGAATGCGGCGTAAAATGACGAGTCCCACATGCAATTCAAATACCCTGAAAATAAGAGTCTCAGAAACTAACAAGTGCACGAGTACGGCTTCGAAAACCAGACCAACCTCATTGACATTAGTTGGAAAACAGGAACGACAACTCCATCCATATCGCAAGCTGGCGCCTTAGTACTCGAGGGTCGATTACGAGACAAAAAAACCCTTCGACAGCCTTATTTTCAAGGGTGTACACGTGATATCGGCCCGGCTACACCAAGAAAGCCGGCCGCCGTCACTCTAAAACAGGAACTCTGCCACTCACGTCGCGGAGACATTGGCCACTTCCTCTCCCAGAATCGCATGGTTCCGGTGCGGCGGCGCGGCGCCTTCTTCCTGTTGTCGCGCTATCGGCGGCGCCGACGCGTGCCCGTGTGCACGGCGCTGTGTCTCGTGTGTGTTTTGCTTCTCTGGGGGGACTGCCAGGCCGCGGGGGACCTCGTGGGGCGGCTGTACGATTTGGAGACTTCAGGCAGTTCCGCGACCAAGCTCTCGCTCAGTTCCAGCGCGCTACCGAGCGCTGTAGCCGCCAGATTATCCAGCTACTCCCTCACATGGAGCGAACTGTCAGGACTCATGCAGCGCGCACTACTGTGGGACTCAGGCTTCGTGTTCGCGTCGCCTGTAAGCTCGTCCTCGTCCTCGAACGAAGCGGACGACGTCAAACTCGTACAGATCTACACTTCATGCAGCCAAGGAATGGGGGATTTATTACCAGGCTTGGCAGAGGTTAGAACGCTCCAATCTACAGGAAACAGCAGCAACTGCGACGTACAGGACTGCGGAATTATAGGTCATTTCTTGCCGACGAACTGCCCCGTGGAGAGCGTGATCCCGCTCACCAGGTGCGCAGTGCACGCGTCAGATATGGACGGACAGAATCAGTTTACAGGGGTCTTCTGGGCCGAGGATGGACGCAGCAACACTGTACCTGAGCCAGTGTTAAGACGACACACTCCAGTAGACACAGAGCCCAGTGAAGCGCTCTTCGCTGTGCACTTATCAGAGACCAGTTTTACAGGAACAGAGTCGTGTCAGCCACACACAAACTTCATTCTGCCATGTCGAGGCGTAGCAGAAGATGTGGTCATCACCAGCAGCAGCGGGAGTGTCAGCTTTACAGCAAATGGTAGCGGCTTTACCGAGGTGGATCTGTGTCCAGCGTCACATGGAGCAGCTATGAACGCGTGGCTGGAGCTACGGTCCACCCCGTCACCCGGGACCTTCTCAACTACAGCCATTGTACTGCTGTCTGTGGCGATGTTGGTTTGTATCGGACTAGGGGCCTCCGTGTGGTGGCTCAGTCGCTCTCGTGCTTGGCTACAGGACGCATACGACCGAGTGATACTGGAGGGATCTTATGATGACGGCTGCTGGTCTCCCACCTCGCATCTTCTCGGAGGACCACTGGCTCCATCGCTGGCTGTGGCTGGAGCGACAGATGAGGAGCGACTCACTCCTATGGAGGTTTTCTTCGGAGCTCGACCACGCAGTCGACGCTCGCCAGGCATTCACGGTACTTCAGCACTTGTCGCCACGACGCGCGCCGAGATCACGCTATCCAACGACCAGCTGTGTCGAAAGAGCTCTATCCTGCGCGCCTTTGTGTCGGACCCGGCCATTGTGACCAAACGTATTTCTTTCGCACAGCTACATTTCTTAAGACTGCTGGCTAAAGGAGGCAGCGGTGAGGTCTGGTTGGGACAGTATGAGGCTCGGTATGTGGCGATGAAGTGCTTGTTGCCTGCGAAACGTGAAGATCCCGAGGCCTTGGAGCAATTTGCAGAGGAGATTAGGATGGCCTCGTTATTAGCACATCCGCGTATCGTGGCTTTCTGTGGTGTGGCATGGCAATCGCTTCTGCATCTCTGTGCTGTGACAGAGTATATGGCACGTGGTGATCTTGAGAGTCTATTGGCCAACCCGGTTGCCCAAAAGGAGCTGAGCTGGAGCAGAGAGAAGCTCACGTTGAGCAGTGATATCGTTGAAGCGCTCGTGTACTTACACTCGCTGGTTCCTGTCGTGATTCATCGTGACTTGAAGTCTAAGAATGTGTTGCTGGATCGACGATTACGCGCCAAGTTGAGTGATTTCGGACTGAGTCGTGAACGATCCGTGGAGGACACGATGACGAACGGTATCGGGACTATTTTGTGGAGTGCACCGGAAGTCTTGGAAGGCAAGCGCTACGACGAGAAGAGCGATCTTTTCTCGTTTGGTGTGGTATTGTCGGAGATTGATACATGTGCTCTACCTTACGGGTTTAGTCGCCACGCCAAAATGCGCAGTATGCAGATCGTCCATCTTGTGTCCGAAGGCAAATTGTTGCCCAACTTCCGTGACGATTGTCCACCAGCAATTCGCGATTTAGCACAGCGGTGTTTGAGCTTGGACCCGGCAGCTCGTCCAACGGCAATGGAGGTCGCCTTCGAGCTTCGCTCTACCATTGCACCACAACTCCTGCAACAACCAATGGCCACGGTGGTCGATGTCGATGGCAGCATTATATCATCAGCGTCGTCTATCAGTGTGGCAAACATTGAAGATAGTGTCGCACCACCTCCAACGCCTAGAAGTATCGACGAAGACGCAACTTTAACAAAGCCATAGCGCGAGTCTTAACAACTCGCATAGGAAACCTATTAATTTATGAGAACAAAACAAACCTTGTAAAAAAAAAGTGAGCATTTCCATCAATAGCTGGGGAAACGGAAAACTTGTCATGATTAGCTTGTGGTTGATTTTTGTTGCCACTTTATCAACGCTATGGAGACAACCAGCGATGAAAATGAGTCCTCGACGCTTGACACGGTGCGCGAAGCTCGACTGATCCGTCGAGTGCCGATTCTGGCGCATGTTGTGAAACAGGGTCTGTGTTCGGAAGGCCAGTTGCTGCGAGCGCTGGAGCTCGTGACTTTTGTTGATGGCGAGTACATTTATTGCCAAGGCCAACCTGGACGTGACGTCCTGTTTATCGAAGAAGGCAAAGTTTTAATCACTCAGCGACGAAGATCTCGAGCTATGAGCACCGTCCGACCAGTGGGGTTTATACCCATGGACAGCTCAGGTGGCGTTGTCTTCACTCGAAGGAGCACGCGAAAACGTTCACAAGTTGAAGCTGAAATGGAAATTCAACTGCACAAACACGAGGAACTCGAATATTTCGGCGAAGAATCACTGTTGCAAGGATTTGTCGCGAGAGTTCTCAATGCTGTGGCAAGTGGAGCTGTGACGTGTTTCATGTTGCCAGAGGCAGCTTTTGCCAGGTTATTAGCGCCCGTGCACGAATTAATGTTGCATCGCCACTTGTTACGAATGCACGGAGTGTTGGCCAAGCAGCGATTATTTCAGCACTTCTCAGCACGTCAACGGCAATTTCTCCTGGATCATTGTACAGTTGAGCACTATGAGGAAGGAGCAAGGATAATTCAACAAGGCGATAAAGACGACGATCGGTATTTTATTCTAGCCGAGGGTGAAGCTGACGTCGTGCTGGATGAGCAAGTGCGAGAGTTTAGACGTCCACAAAGCGCATTACTTAGCAATGGTGAGCTGCAAGACGTCCAGGAACAAGAAGAAACGGGCATAAGGACGTCGGTTGTCTGTCGAAAAACACTTTATCAAGGATTTGGTGAGATGGGAATTCTATGTCGACCTCGAGCAACGCATGTGGTGGCTGCAGGAAGTGTTATTTGCGTGGCAATTTCACGAAAAACTTATATTGGAGCGTCACAATTGCTTGGCGTTGGTGGGGTTGATACCGACGCAGAAGCACTTCTTGCCATGTCGCTGATGGAAGAGTGGGCTCTAGTTGTAAAAACTCGCAATTTGCACTTAGCAAACCCGTTGGTATCTCGGTATCTGGAAACTTTTGTGAAAAAGTTCAAAGCGGCCTATATGCAAAAATTTGAAGGCAAAACACTGTACTTGGATCTATTACGACGAATGCATGCTGATCCCACATTAGCCGACGAATTCCCTTTCGTATCCGACCGAGTGGCTTGGGACCAGCCGACGTCTTCACTCAGTATTACGCGAGCTGAAACTCGGCGAGTGCTATCGTTGCTTCCAGCTGACCGCTCTCCTTTTGAGATCAGCTTCGTGGCTCGCTTACTGGAGTCTACAGCCTTTGTCGATAAATTCGATCGCCCTTCTCATGTGGATAAACTTGCACTTGCTCGCGGGGTCGGTCGCTATGCAAATTTTCTCACTGTTCAAAAGGACAAGTTCCTCTTCAGACAGGGGAAGATCGAGAGTCGCGCTTTTCTCATCTTGAGAGGTAACATCAGCATCGTGAACGAGGATGTCAACACGCTCCAGCCAGGATTAACCGTTAAACAGTATGACGTACTCGCAACACTGTCCGCTGGGGATTCGTTCGGCGAGTTGTCACTTGTTACTCGCCTGCAACGATCAGCCTCCGCTCTGGCGGCGTGTGAAGCTGATCTTTTAGTACTCGAGCGAGCTCATTTGCACGCTTTAATGGATCTGCTACCTGGTGTATCCGTTCAACACGCAATGGTACAACGAGCTGAATTTCTTGCGTCGCTGAGTTTTCTTCGTGATAGTGATTTTGCCCAGTGCATTCGAGTGGCACACGATCTCCAGGACCAATTCTACGAGCCGCGTCACATTTTTCTTCAAGAACCGGTGCATTTGCGTTCACTATACATTGTGAAAAGTGGCGAGGTGGTTGTTTATCTGCGTCGAATGGTTCCTATCGCTGATATCACGGTGACGTCTGGAACTAATGAGTCTGCAACAACAAAAGAAGTGCTTGTTCGAGTTGCAACAATTGGCCCGCAAGAGTTTTTCGGAGTAGCAGTTGCGAGTGCGAGTATGCTAATATCTAGTACCTCAGTCAACGGAGGAATCGCCTCCACTGCTACTTCTCCGTCTCCAAGCACCAACGCTCCACCTTCATCACCCCCCTCTCCAAAACGACCGGCGTCTCCACCGAATGCTCAACACTACGTTGCAGCTACTTTAGCTTCAGTCACGGCAACCGGCCCAACCTCACCAACTACCAACACGGATTTTGCCAAAACCGTCTTCATGTGCTCAACCCGCGTACAAATGCTAGAACTCTCTGAGCGTGGGTGGAGACGACTACCGCTGTCAAGTCTGCACAGTATCCGCAACTCTTTGCTCGAACGCCATCGCTGGAATCTGGAAACAGTGGAAAAGCAACAGCAGCAAAACAATCCTACCTACTTTGTCGTGGACAAACCGTGGCAGCCCATCATCCGCCCAAATATTTCCACGACACCAAAGAAGCCGAATGGAGACAATGTAGATCCCCAAACACGAGTTCTGGAGGCTGCACCTGCAACTAAACTAGCTCGACGAATTCAGGACAAAAAGCAGCAACAGCAACAGCAAGGACACAACAATGCGGTCTCCCGACTGTTTTCTCCATCTCCACTAGCTCCAATTAATAAGCCTCGCCAACCTGGTCGACTGGCAATTTCACCTACAACGACAGTATCAAGTCGTGGGTCGCCAATTTATGGCACGAGTCCATTGAAATCGACTTCGACTGGGTTGGCAGCATTTACTCAGAACAAAACTTTAGCATCACCACTAGGGTCACCGTCACTCTTATCACCAACTCGTGCGGCGCAATTTGGGCCAAGTCTTAGTGGATCTTTTCAACCGAAAAATGGGACACTGGCATCCTTGGCAAGTCCTTCACACGCATATTTCACGCAGCCAAGCACCAGCATTGCACCAATAGTGTTGTCTCCCCGCCCACCGTTAAAAATGCCAATTCCAAATGGGAATCCAAGTCCGCGGCAAGTTCGAGAAGACGACACACAGCAACGCAGATCAAGCACTACTCCTCTGCAAGACACAGCGAGAAATGTACAAACAGCAAGAGAAAGCGACTGCAAGGCCATGTGGAAGCTGCAGCGAAGCCCCTCCTTGAAACAATAGAGCCACATTGCCATTTTCCATTTGCCACAAGCCACATTTTGGCGTTGAAGATGCCTTCATCCCATCTTCCAAGAGCCACAGTGAAAGTGGTTGAAGAAAGTGACTGGTGTTCATTATTGGACATTTTTTTTTCATTCATTCCCCAAATTGCCACGCAAATATGAAAACGATAGAAACGGCAGCGTTGGTGCCGCCGCTGGGCACCAGTGTGCCAGTCACGGAGGCATTGCCCACCCCTACGGCGCGCTTCCGTCTGCAGTTCACCGACGACCGGCGCACCAAAGAGCTGCGCTGGGTCCTCTTCGCCTGTACGTCAAGAAAAGCGTCTCTTTTCATTGACAATAATTGTATTTGTCACTGAAAAAAATAGCTTTTAACCAAATCTTGTTTGTGAAATATTGTAGCGACTCAGCGCGGTGCAATTGGCAAGCTCATCTTCACTTTGGAGAAGAATGGCACGGCTCATGTCAAGTCAGTTGTGGTGAACAAGGAGTTCCGCGGCTTGGGCTTGGCCCGCGTGCTCTATCTGGCCACATTAGCCACATTAGAGGAGAAACAAGTGAAAGCGCTCTACTTGGAAGCCGAAGAGGACTCCAAACGCTACGGAAAGTTAGTCGGCCTCTATCGAGGCTGGGGCTTTGCCGAAATGCCCGATGCAAAAGTTCTTTTCCTTTACAACGGCAACGACAGTCTTCGCAAAGTGCCGATGGTGTCTGTGTTCCAGAAAAGCACTTTCTTTCCAATTCGACCAAAAGAAAGCACTTGGTTCTGCATGATGACTCTGCAGACACAAGACGGCACGTGTCTGGTGGCCGGAGAAGACGGAGACATCGAAGTCTGCCCCAAAAGTTACGGGTGCATGTGGCAAACGCTGCTCGGTGCCATGGGCGAAGTTTTTCTTCGTAGTGTCCATGGCAAATTCCTGTGTGTGGAAGAAGATGGCACGATTTTGGCCGATCGACGCTTGAATTCCACATGGGAAACGTTCCAAGTTGTGCCACACCATGCAGAGAATACTGGAGGTGTGGCACTTCGCACTTTCCACGGGGGTTATCTGTGCATTGATCCAGTGGAAAAGCGTGTGGAGGTTACTGATCATCCCGTCCCATGGGATGGCGGTGAAATCATGTCGTTGGTCTGCAACAAAACCGACTCGCACCCGCTTTTTGCCAGGATTATGCGGAAATATCAGACCACCGCGTTCGTGAACAGCCAAGTTGCGAAGTATGGAGACTTGCAACATGCGCGGATGTCAATTCCAGAGGCGTGTAAGTGCGTGATGGAACTCACAGGAGACTCGGAAAGGGAGAAGAGCTGGGTCATTAAGTACATGTTGGCTACGGCTGCTGCTGTGAAGCAGGACGGACACCCAGACTGGCTGCAACTGGCAGTTTTCGTTCGTGCACTAGGAATGATCTTCTTGTGCTGGACAGACGACGACAATGCTGTGTTGCGTAGTATTTCAGCACAGGAGTGGATGACCAAGAACTCGACATGGGTAGTTGGCGAGCGAATCCCCAACTCGATTCAATTCCCGGAGCTCAATGAACTGAATTTGGACCATTGCAACTGCGAGAAAAGTGGCGGTAACACTGCTAGCCATTGCGGATTGGACAATGTGTTGCTGCCTTGGACTCCGGACGAATACCTACACCGTGTACTGTTTGTTAACAAGACTTCGTTGCCTGCAGAAGCTCTGGATGCTGTGCGCTTCTGGTCCTTGAATACATGGTACGAACAAGACAATTACGACGAATTCTGCGCACCTCAGGACATGGATACGAAGGAGTGGATCTGCTCGCTTGGCAAAATAGCATGTGTTCCAGATGCAGTGGTACAGAATGGAAATTCAACTGCACAAACACGAGGAACTC